AAATGTGCGTTCTTTGTTAGAATTGAGTCCGAGTTTTGCACCTAGTCAACCCATTTCTAAACCAATCCTGCGCAGGATCACGTGTAGGCTGCATGAACTTCAAGATCAGCTACGTTACAGGGTTATGCTAGAAAGGTTAGGTAANTGCCCGTTTCCCCGATATATTCCTCGCCGCATGCAATACACGAGATCAAGTATATTATACCTAAACTCATGCAATCCCCGTCTCTCCCGTTAGGACAGATCATACAGTTTTCTGAACTAACTTGCGGCGTAGGGTATTGGATGGGATGTCAATAATCGTTACATAATTTTCAAGACCACTTTTTCTTAAGCACTTTTTAATGGCATGACTTACTTTTAATGGCGGGGCTAAATCGGTATGCGGGAAGAATNGGGTCTAAATCGGTATGCGGAAAGATTCGGTGTGATATTAAGAGCAAGTTAAGAAAAAAATTTGAAGATCTATCACGCCGCTCAAAAAGGTCAAATGAAAGGACCACCGCTGGTCAAGTCCCAAGTGAAAGCCCTGAAATAGACTGCGCACCAAGAACATCCAGAGTTACTGTGCTAGGAGGTATAACGCTTCCGGAAAATGTGCGTTCTTTGTTAGAATTGAGTCCGAGTTTTGCACCTAGTCAACCCATTTCTAAACCAATCCTGCGCAGGATCACGTGTAGGCTGCATGAACTTCAAGATCAGCTACGTTACAGGGTTATGCTAGAAAGGTTAGGTAAAGTAGTACCAAGGGGGAACTACCACCAATACCCTTTCCCCGAACATTCTTTAAACAAGAGCTACCAAATAGCGATATTGACCCTACATTTCGGTTATTTTCGGATGAAATTCTCCGCATACTTAATCACTACCAAAAACGAAAAAGAAGCTCCAACCTCACAAACCAAAAAAATGTGGTATGCGCCAGCTTAGGGAGCTTTTGAATTCAAAATCTATTGGAATTTCTATTAGCGATAAAGGCGGAGAATTTGTAGTTTTTCCTAGTCAGTTGGATATTAGGATAACAGAGAAGCACCTCAGTGATGTTTCTCTCTATCGAACATCCTCTGAAAAGGAATACAGAAACCAATACCGAAAATTAAATCAAGAATGGGTCAGCGCACCAAAGGCCGCGAGTTTAGAGCCTTCAGTTATTTCTTGACTTAAGCACGAACACCCGATTTGCCCTGTCCTTTCTTGCTTATTAAAACACATAAGCTTACTTCAACTGATGATATTACATCAACGAACCCATCATCACATAAAGTTAGACCTATCATCAGTTGTATAGGCGGGCCAACGGATAGAATAACGTTGTTCCTAAACCTTATCCTAACCCAGTGGCTAAAATTCATTCCAACCCATCTACCTAACACCAAAATATTTCTAGATCACCTTAGGCGCGCGCAACCAAACAGCACGCATATAATGGAGTCATTCGATGTTAGTCCACTTTATACCAATGTGTCCATTGACTCCGCAATGCAAACCATTCTCGAGTTGTTCGTAGAGCACGAAAAGAAAATAAAAATGCACGGCTTGTCGATTGCGCAACTAAAGACCCTCTTAAAACAGTGTCTTAGCTGTTCAATCTTTAGGTGGTCTGGAAAATATTTTGCACAAATTAGAGGGTTGGCGATGGGGCAGCGTTTAGCACCAAGCCTTGCCATCGCTTTCATGTCTAAGGTGGAAGCTCCAGTTCTCGATCACCGACCCTTACTCTACTGTCGATACATAGACGACTGCTTCATCGTCTGTTCCACACAAGAACGGATGGATGAGTGCCTTGAATTATTAAACCGACAGCCAGAGTATATAAAATTTACACGAGAAAAAACTACCGAGAACTGGCTTCCATTCTTAAACATCCAAATAAAGCTCTCAGTAAGTGGCTATTTAACAAAATGGTATCGCAAGCCAAGTGGTAAGAACATTCTGGTTCACTGCCTCTCCTCTCATCCTTCACACATAAAAAAAGCACTTATCAAAAATATGTATCGTACGGCTAAAAATGTGTGTACAGGAGAAGAGGAAAGGAAGGAATCGCGAAGCCTGGTACGAAAAATTTGGCATGTCCAATGGCTACGAAGTAGAAGCCACTCGGGTTAGAGGAAAACATTGGGTAGTTTCCCAAAATAATATTTCAGACGAAAGTAGGATCCCCTTTAAGCTGCCCTTCATATCAAATGAAGTAAGTAACACAATACGCAACATCACGGATACAATCATCATCACATCAGCATCATCCCGCACGTAACATCACGGTGAGTGGCCTTTCTGTTCAATATGGCGTCTATTTGAAAGTTTGATCTTCATTAATACTTTAACCTTCTTTTCCACCGACTAGTAAAAAGTATTCTAACATAAAGTACGTCCAGAGTCTTTTGTACTCTCGCGACACTTCAATGAGCCTTGTTATATTGTGGATGTGAACCATCGTACTAAATCCTTTTCGAAACCCTGCTTGCTCACATAGCTGCTTTCTTTCCTGTTTTCTGCCAATCCTGTTTAGGATGACTCAAGTGAAAAGTTTGTAGATGACGGACGGTAAGCAGATTGGGCTATAGTTGCCAATATCGTGTAGGTCACTCTTCTTGAACAATAACACAGTCTTGCTGATCTTCCACTGAGTAGGGACCTTGGATTCAGACAGGTAACGTGTGAAGAGCCGAGCCAATGTGCTTACGAGGACTGGCGGAAGGTTCTTCAGGGGTTCTGGTCTTATCCTGTCCGGACCTGGTGCTCTTCGATTTTTCACGGACGAAATAGCATGTCGGGTTTCGAAAGGGAGAACCAGTGGTACAACATATCCATCCTCGTTTACTTCATATGACGGAAGGTGGGCGTGGCTATCGAAGAGATCCGAGTAGTATTCGTGAATGATTTTCTCCATTGCCTTTCTGGGCGCTGTAACTGTTCCGTCTGGGCGCCGGAGTGCAATCATTTTGGTCTTCTAATTGGCGAAGCTTCGGTGGGCTTTACGAATGCTTTTCTCACCCCCTGCAGCTTCGACCGTAACTGTTGCTCTTCTCTCTTTAAGACCTTCTTTTATCGCCTGTCTGCACTGTTTTGCAAGTTCGGACGTTAGTTCGTGGTTGCCTTCAGCTCGTGCGATTCCACGCTAGCGTATCAGTTCGAGTGTTTCTCGAGACAAACGTCTCTTGGTGACTTTCGAACTCTCAGCTTTCATAGCGCTAACGTGAAGATGTTGAATGAGCCGATCGTATTCTTTGTTGATGTTATCGACAACGGCTTCTTCCCAATAGCCGACTAATGAATTGAAGAAGTCTCAATTTGCGGTGGTTCTAGGACTTCGGTTTTGGAATTTAGCGGCTTTTTCTCCTTTCCGCGAGAAATAGAATCTTGCATGAAGGAGACGGTGGTCTAATCCCATGTAGAACTTTGGGACAACAGCGACATCGGTTAGGCCAAACCTTCTATTTACTATGATGTGGTCTATTTCGTTATGGTACTCTGCATTGGGAGACTCCCGCTTCCAGCGCTGAGAGTGGGGCCTCTGGAATTGCGAGTTACCATGGATTGTCTTCGTCGTCATGATAAACCCAGACACCCGCTCACCCTGTTCGTTCCATTCTAATCCGTGGGTCCTAATGTGACGTCCTTCAGACGTTCTTCTTGTTCCAGTCTTGGCGTTGAAATCTCCAAGGATAACCTTGAAGAATTTATGGTTTTCTTTATAGAACTTCTCCAAGTCCATATAGAACGCTTCGACTTCTTCTTCGTCATAGCTTGATGTCGACGCGTAAACAGCAAAGATTGTCAAAGCTGCTGTTGATCTATATTTCATTAATCGCAATCGTCCGATTCGGGTTGTAAGTTGTTCGAATGAATCGATGTTCATGGACAAATTTGTGTTGACGAGAACGCCGACGCCGCCGACTCCTCTACTGTCGCATGTTCCGAGGAACAGTCCTTCTCCGGTGTCATAGACGCCATTGAAAGGCTGGCGTCTTCTCGTCTCGGTCAGGCCATGACGTCGTACTTTATCCTTCTTGCTTGCATGAGCAATTCTTCTATCGAGGACTCGAATGCAAGTGTACGTGCATTGTAGGTACAGATCGTCACCATAGTTCTTTGAAATCCAGACAGCTTCCATTGGCCCTGCGATTTTAGCAGCCTCTCCGTCCTCGTTCTACCCAACGCTGCGAAATTAGGGCTCTTTCGGGGTCAGGGGAATGAGGTCCGTTTTTTTTTTTACTGTGTTTAGCATCTTGATACCCACGTATAGTTTGTTGGGCTCTGAACGTGGGGGCTGGGCATACTCACGGGGAGCTTGTCAGGCTCTCCCAGAGTGGACATGGAGCTTATTTGTTGGACGCGACTCCTTACCGCCTCCAATATAGTTCCCAGTCACTTGATTGCGGGACTTTGGCCGAATTGACTCGTAGAATATAATCCGCATAACCAAGAACGCATCCACACACGCATGTATGAATATGTCTAGCAAATACACAAAGTACGTGCCAAATCAACGCAGCAGAAACAGGGAGTCCGTACCCTGGATCCACCTGCGTCTCAGGGAAGCAAAGCTCGCTTTTGGTCCGCGATTAACCTCCTATCCGCCACCTGGGGACTCACCACGTAGCCACGCGACTAACCGGTTCGAGATCCCTCGTATGAGAAACGCGCTATAAAATGGGATTTGTTCACTTCATTAGCTGGCTGCTGGGAGGATGCCGTTCTTGAAAACATCAATGAGGAATACAATAGGCTCATTCAACATCTTCAGGTTAGTGCTATGAAAGCTGAGAGTTCGATAGTCATCAAGAGACGTCCGTCTTAAGAAAGACCATCTTATACGTGGGGCTGGAATCCTAAGAGCTACAGGCGACTGCCAATTCACTTCGGAAGTTGCAAAACAATGAAGATAGGCGATAAAAGAAGATGTTGAAGAGAGAAAAGCAGCAGTTATGGTCGAAGCATCACAGCCTGGGAAAAACATTCGCAAAGCCCACCGAAAGTTCTCCAATTAAGAAGTCAAGATGGTTGCACTTCGACGCCCAAACGGAACAGTTACAGCGTCTAGAAGGGCAATGGAGAAAATCATTCACGAATACTACTCAGATCTCTTCGATAGCCACATCCACCTTCCGTCACATGAAATAGAGGACGATGGATACATTGTACCACCGGTTCTCCCTTCCGAAATCCGACATACCATTTACTCGGTGAAAAATAGAACAGCACCAGGACCGAACAGGATAAGACCAGAACCCCTGAAGAACCTTCCGCCAGTGCTCGTAAACACATTGGCTCGGCTCTTCACACGTTACCTGTCTGAATCCAAGGTCCCTACTCAGTGGAAGATCAGCAAGACTGTGTTATTGTTCAAGAAGAGTGACCTACACGATATCGGCAACTATCGCCCAATCTGCTAGCTGTCTGTCGTCTACAAACTTTTTACTCGAGTCATTCTAAACAAGATTGACAGAACACTGGAAGAAGAGCAGCCGTGTGAGCAAACAGGGACTCGAAAAGGATTCAATACGATGGACCACACCCATGCGATAACAAGGCTCGCAAAAGTAGAAGAGATTGCTCTGTCTCTTTTATCCATTTAAAGAATGCACTTTACACTCATCTGAGACAGAAGCAGTCATAGAACCTGTGGACAGCTAGGACGTCCTACTCAGCACATAAAGAGTCATCATGAGCTAACAAACATTTCATAACCGAAATGTCACCATTCCATGACAATATTAACGTCGAAGTCAAAATAGAGATTAAACAAGATGGTACCATCTCGCAAAAATTGTTCACCACCACCTTCCGAGAACGCCATGCGAACACTGGAGTGGGACAACATAGAAGTGGAAATCGATTGTCAGCAATTACACTATCTTCGCTTTGTGGACGACATCGTTCTTGTGATACCAAGCCCTTGCCAGACGGAACGAATGCCTGCCAACTTTTAAAACACTCGTAGAAAGATTGGTCTTCTAACAAATCTCACAAAGACGATGTTCCTGTGAAACGGAATGGTTTCGCATCAAACATTAATTCTCTGCGGAACAAATACCTGCCACTGCTCCAGTTACGCCTATCTAGGTCAGGAAATCGATGTGATAAACGATATACGTCCAGAGTTGAGTAGGAAAAAACTAGCAGCTTGGGGAGCTTTCAAGAGGATCGAGGATGTAGTGAAGAGAACAAAGAATATCCAGCTCCGCGCCCAGCTTTTCGACTCGACAGTACTTTCTGGCCTAACGCATGCGTCAGAAAACTGGTCGCTGTGTAAGGAGGGTGAAAGATCACTTAGCGTTATTGAATGCTCAATGGAACGGACGACGCTTCGACTCTCCCGTGTCACACAAGTGAGAGAAGTGATCCGAAACTGCGACCTGCGTCAGCGATCAAAAACTGAAGACGCCGCTCTCTACGCCAGTCGAAGATAAGGTAGGCCGGACACGTAATGCGTATTAACGACAGCCGGTGGACAAGAGCCGTTAGTGAATACATCTTCGAGATTTCAAACCTACTACAGAAAGACCATCGACCCTATGGTCAGAGTTCTTCATGAAAATTCTAGAAGAAAGATGTCATTCTCAGCGGGTCCCTAGAGGGATCAGAACCCACTAGGCCACTCTTGCACGCCACAGGGAAAGTGGAAAATTTACTCGCTCGAGTCACTCGATCAACAGGACTACAGGTGATACAGGTGATGAATCAGCGCAAGCACGTAATAAAGTGGGCGAAGTACGCATTGAAAAAGATAAAAAAGAAAATAATTAAGATAACCTAGATTTTGATTTTTGCTTTTATAACACTGCTCTCGTGCTACTCAATTTTTCTGTTATTCTGTTTCGTTGGAGAGGTTTTAGTGCCCTGAAACGACTTGAGGTTGATTCGGCCAGACCAATGCCAAAATATGGCTCTCGCAGTTGTTTTTCATTTGCATAACACACAACCAATCCGGAGCAGCAACCAGGAAATTTGATTTTATGTATTCAAATGCGATTAGCTAGTCCGAGTGATATGTGGTTCAGATATATTTCATTTTCTTTTGCGATGGTGTCCTTCATCGCTGGGAGGATATTCTCGAATCTCACAGATAACCCTGAATACTACTGAAGCCAGAGTTTCTACCCTATGTTTTAAGCCATCGGTTTTTCTAATTGGGAAACGTTAGCAATCAAGAAAGAAAGGCTTCTTTTTATTATTGTTTTTGGTATTGCAAGCAAGCGAAGAAATTCTTTTTCTGTGGTTGACCTCGCCTTAACAGCGGCGTTTGTTGTCGTGAACTTCTCGTAGCGGAATTTATCAAAAGCATAAACATGTTTGGAGATTGTCTTTATAGCCACTTTTCTCTACAAAATTCTGAACAACACAAAGGAACCCTGCCAGCTCCATGTAGAGTTATGCGGGTCAGACAAAGATCGACGGCCAATGCAAATACTTTGCATTGAAGACGATAGTTTTATGGGCTCGGTTGACTCGGCGGTTATTCACCTCCTTCATTCCCTCTCAAACTCATTTTTTCTACTAGGATAAAATAACTGACTCGTCAGGTATCAAGTCATAATAGTTTTCTAGGCCGACTTTCATTTAACCCTGCTACTAAGTAATAATCATTGTATTGTCTCACTTATTTTTTTATCAAGTGGGAGGTTTATTTGTGCCATTAGCTGTGTTTATTATTTTTGTTCATACTGTAGCATTTTTAAACTGTAATTTGTTTAAAATATTCGCTCTCAGACCTTCAAAATTAGTTAGATGGCTTTCTGATTACAAAGACGGCTTCATTCATGCACCTAAACGTTTAACGGACATGGAGAACAGCGTGCAAGAGGAGCCGCATTCTGGACTCCCAAAAAGGCTCCACCGACTAACTAGAGGACCCAAAAATTAACTTATCAACTCAATAGTCCAGCCAGCGCTCTGTCATGCTGCACAGAAGTGAGCCAATAATTTTAGCCAAGACAACCAGCTCTGCCAGCCAATCAAAGAGCGCTTAAATGATCTTTTCTAAAATATACCAGGCACTCACAACATCCAGTCTGAATACGCACCTCTGATGTTCGAGGCACAGGCGAACACACATCTATAGCGAAACACAAACGGGACGCTCATATACTGAGAAGAACAGTATGAAGCCCGCACAGGTCCCCATGCTCAAATCAATTTACCACCATGAACGACAACTGTGAGGCAAAAAAGGAATGGAAAATGTGCTGGGATCTGCACTACTTGCGAAGACGGACCCGTTCAAGTATCTAAGTAAGTAAAACTAGTTCCGTTATGCCAGCAGCAAGGCATTTTACTGCATGAATATCAAGCGAACACTTAACTTCTTCTAATCAACTCAGTGAGGATAGAACACGGTAGATCCTCCTGCTGTAGATGAACTCATACATGATCCTGATCACCATGTTCTCGGATGACGATTGCAAGGCGACGAAATGAGTGAAAAAGTGGAGTCCATCTTTCATGCGATGACGGCCCTTCCTGCTTAAATAGTCCGTCTTTTTTGTTGTTTACAGTCGAGCATTGCTTCCCTGCTGCCGTAGTTTGGCGGTCGACAAGCTTTGTTTTAGCACTCACGGTTGCGCTCTATGTTTTAATCCGGTGCATTCGACTGATCCGCTGCAGTGAAAAGAAATATTAGCCGCTTTGCGAATGGATTGTGCGTGATAACAATTTTCCGAGTTGTGTAGTTTTGGGTGGATACCCGATGATCATATGAAAATCGTTCACGCCTTGGCTGCCCGAAAAAGGTGTTGTTGTTCCTTTGGTAAAGAGATATCACTGACATATTCCTGCTTAGTCGTTTTTCTTTTCCATTCACAAAAAAATCTGCTTACACCTTTGGTCAAAGCTGATCGCAAAATGCAGTATGAGGCACTTTATTCATATGCGGTCTGTTGAAGATCAACACCGAAGTCGACTGGAGAATCATCTTGCGCCTTTATCTGATCATTCAAGCGGTTATTAAATCGACGATTTTGAGAGCGTTCCTCTTGAATTTCAGGTTAAGACTGCAGTCGATGATTATTTCTTAATGCTTCTCCATCACATTCTTGAACACACAAGAAACCTCTTGGCAGCTCAACATTCCCGAACAAATATTGAGCTTATCTAGCAGATAGCCGACATTGGTAGGAAAGACGGTTGTTTCATCACCGTGTGGGCTCCTTACTTTCCAGTACTACCTGCGATCATGTTAATCATCATGCATCGATTAAGTCTTCATTCGTTCTCTTGGAAAATGACAGCTGCTCAATAGACTCCACCAACTCAAAGAACATGAAGAACATGATTATTTTGGCGCGGTGCTCTCTATCTTCACAGTTTGCTATGAATAAAAAGCCAGCCAAGAGTAACTCGCCATGTTCCACCACGACATAGGTTTACCCAATCGAAATATCGAACTTCTCATACGTTAGTTTGATTACCAAAATTTTAATAATATTGTTAATGATTAAGTGTAATTAGATGATTTATTTGAACATTTCAAAACCGATTTTTTTTAACCTGTGCCTGACAAGTCGTTATGTATTCCTTCTTTTACAAGCTTAAACGATGGAGCTCCAGGATCGGTTGTCCGGAAAAAGCAAGTAATTATCATCGTGCAGTCACCGCTATCGTTAAGGACCGTCCTGTATAAAAGAGAACCGCCAGGTGAGTATACCTCATTCGAGAGATGCTTAACTGAAGAAGATCCGGCTCGTTTCGACAACGAAGACACTACATTGAGAAAACTAACGACTTGTGGACATCGGCCCGGATCATCGGCTTTGAAGAAGACAAAGACGTCGAAACGTTAGCCGAAATTAAAAAATATTTATCGACCTCGTGTAAGCTTATCAAAGAAAGAATATATATTAATTTATTTTATCCATATTGTTGCTGGGATATTTGCATAACTCTGGACCGCTGGTGTCTGCGATAGGGACCGAAAACTCTACTACCCTTTCTGGAGTTAAAGCGCCCACTGTCACACCGTGCGAGTCTTTCACTTCGCCTTTCTCTCAGCCGTGTTAATGACCTATGGGAGCTATCAGCAATCACCCGCCAACGGGATTAATCTGGGAAGCACAAATCGGTATGAACCCAGATAAGATGAAGCTCAAGGGCAGGGTATTGGGTGAAATATAGCTATAATGTTGCTGAGATATTTGCGGTCCGGAGTTTTTCATTCGTTTTCCACCGCAGGCACCTGCGGTCCGGAGTTTTGCAAATATCTCAGCATCATTGAAATTATGGTTATATTTCACATAATACCCTGCCATTAAAAATTAGTAGACAGTACATAAAAAATTGACGCGTAGTGATTTATTTTAGCTTTACACGACCCGTCTTAACATCTTCCATGTATATCCCAGCACTTCTCTGCGCCATCCACAAAGGTCTTTTGACTTTTTGTCTGTAGGCTCCATTG